ATTCAAAAAAATAATACTTAAATTATAATTATATTTAACTATAAATATAGCAAAAAAGAGACAATCAGCAAGATTAAAAAAACACAATAACTAAATTAGAATAATTTTAAATATAAAAAAATTAAAAAAAATAAAACTAAAGAAAAAAAAAAATAAAACAAAAAGAAAAACTAATAAAAAAAAGAAAAATATAAAAAGAACTAAAAAAACAAAAGATAAAATCTGTAATTAAAAAAGCAAATAGATAAAAAAAATAAAAAAATACAATGATATAGACTATATAAAATTTGTTAAAAAAGATCTCAAAATATAAGAGCAAATACTTAAGAAAAATAGACAAAATAATAATATACAAGATTAAGAGAAGTATATACAGAATAATAATAATAATAATAATAATAATAAAAATAACCAAGTATTTTAATAAGTAATTTTTCAAAAAATAAAAAGTTAGAATAACAACAGATAAAAAAAAAAAACTAATTTATCATAAGATTAAAAAATATTAAAAGAAATCTTTAAACAAATTTTATTACAAGAATTTAAAATCAGAAAAACAATAGTAGTATATATTTTACCAAACAGATAGAAAAAACTAAGAAGCTATATAGTAATATTATTTAAAAACCAGCAAATATAAATATAATCACTAAGAAAAAAATCTAATATAACAGAATCTTAATGTTTTAGAAAGTCAAAATAAAAAAAATAAACAAAAAAACTTATGAAAATAGTAGTAAAATACAAAAAAAGAAACAATAATTCAAAAAAAAAGAATATGAGCATAAAGAAGTTTATAAATAAAAATAAATATAATATAAAATCAAAAGATAAAAAACTGAACAAAAAAGTAGAAGCTATTAAAATCAAAAAAAGACAAAAAGACTTACTATAACTGCTATAAACCAAAAACAAGAAAGACTAAAAAAAAAATTAAAAGTATAATTGAATTACAAAAGCAAATACTAAATATAAAAAACTTATTAGATTAAATACTAAAAAATTGAAGATAGTCAAAAAGAGAATATGAAAGACCTAAACTATTATATTTAAAGACACCTTAGTTTAACTAATAAAAATATATAAAAAACTTGAGAATTTTCTATAAAAAATATATATATATATTTAAAAAAAAGAACAGTATCTTCTTATCAAAAAAAAAATAAAAATAAAAAAAAAGTAAAAAACATAAAAAGAGAATAAAACTAATTAAAAAAAAATAAAAATTATGTTATAATATTAATAGATAAAAACCAAAACTTGAAAACTTAAAAATCTGCTTGGCTAAACAGAAAAAAACAAAAATTGCAATATTAAAAATTATGAAAATAAATCTTACAAAAAAAGTATAGAAATTCTTAATATACAAAATGATTAAGATATATTAAATATTAGAATAATGTAGTAAAAAAAACAAAAAAAAGCATTAGATTTAGGAATTTTAATAAAAAATATTAGAAAAAGCATATAATGCAGTTAAAAAGATAAATAAATATATAATAAAAATTATATTATGCTTCAAACAAATAGAATTAATAGTAATAAAAATTTATATACTAACAAATAACAAAGTATTTAGCAAAAATAATAAAAATAGATATAAAAAAGAAAAACAAACACAAATAGTTATTATAGTTGATTTCAATCATATAATGAACAATACATTAGATAGACAAATATATAAGTTGCAAGCTTTAAAAAATTGCTAATATTTAAATAGATAAAAAAATAAACCTTTTATTCCTTAAACTGTATAGCATACAAATTTGTATGTTAAAATTTTTTATAATCTATTTTTGAATGATTGTGTAAAATGTTACTAAGCTTTGACCCCCTATTTATAAGCTAGAATCGAAGCATGTTATATGCTGATTATATCTGTCACTCATAGTATCTTCTACTTTTATCATTATTGTTATGTACCTAAATCCAAAATTGTGTATTTGTTTAACTTTAATAATCATTTATCATCTATTGCATAACAAAATTCATTTTCTATGTAACTAAAATATTTGTTATAATCGCTAAAAGTTAAACTAAGTTATTTGTATTAAGCTAATGCAAAACAACTTCTAGATAACAAACAGATATGAATAATCACAATCACTTGCAGACTTAAATAACGAGTGCTTTTTTTTTTTTTTTTTTAAAAAAAAAAAAAAAACTATGTCTAATATGCTTGTAGCTGAGTCATCCTCTATGTTCAGATCAAGAATGTCTTTTGGTTCAACTCCTCTTGATGTAGAAGGTTCAACTTCCCTTGATGTAGAATTCAATGCTAACAGTAAAGAAGAATATAAACCATTCTTAACCTTTCACTAGCATTCGTTGTACAATCAGGATTCAGAAAGCAGTGATGATGAAGAAATCGTAGAAACGAACACTAAAAGAACCTGTAAAAAAAAAAAAATTAGTAAAAACAGTGCAACAAGATCTTTTTTCACCTCTATCAGATTTTGAGCCATTTGCTCATTCAAGGCCACTGTGCCATGCATCTGTTTGGCTACCATTCCATTTTAATAATTGTGTAGTTAGGCCAATTGATATTTTTTTTTTCTTTTTTACAACAACCATGTTGGACTTAATGGTTATCTACATGAATTTGTATGCATTGACCAAGAATGCAGGTGCTGCTGGTAGGTCATGGCAAAATTTAACATGTAAAAAGTTAATCATTTGAATTGCTTTAGTTATTTATCAAGAGCTTTTTAAGTTCCTCTCTCTTGATCAGTACTGGAACGAGAACTCAAACCTTCCTGTTCACCATATTTCAAAACAAATGCTATTGTTTCGCTTTGAACAAATTAAAAGGTTCTTGCATGTCTCCCCCCTACAAAGGAAATTAATAGTTTTTTTGAGAAATTGGAGCCATTGCTCTCTTATATTCAAGATACTTCAAAACATCTTTATATACTAAACTCGAATATCTCAATTGATAAAATGATGATTCGTTTTTCTGGCAGGAGCATTCATATGATAAGAATAAAAAACAAACCAATACCAGAAGAATTTAAGATCTTATCACTTTGTGATGCAGGATATACATACACTTTTTTACCAACATCACAGGTTTTACGAAGTGATACCAATAAAGTCAAGAGTCTTAGTTAAATTAGAAACCTGGTTTTTCATCTTATTAAGCAACTTCCATTCCAACAATTTCTATATAATATATTCATGGATAACAATTTTTTCAGCATTGCTCTTTTTTAATGTCTTCAGCAAATTGGAGTTGATGCCTGTGGAACTATACAAAAGAATTCCTCTAAATTTTCAAAAAAGCTACAGGTGAATAAAAATGCTAAACTAGACTAGGATGTTCATTCTGAAGTCGTAATAAATGATGTTTTAGCTTTTTTTGGCAGGATAATGGGCTCATCACAATGCTATCAACAATTCATAGCCTTATTGATGAAGAATGGAAAGTAGAGAGGATGGCGATCCTAGTGTAGTGGTTAGGTTGTCATCCTCCAAGTAGCAGGTCTAAGGTTCAAATCCCACCTATGATGAAATTTGGAAATTATATCTGTGTTATGGTAACTGTCTCCTGTCGA